GTATCAACAGATATACAACTATTCAGGTTTCTGTTTTTTCTTGGGTCCATGATGATATTCCTGACATTCCATTTCATATTAGTTGTTAATTATATGTTACAATAAATATCTCATAATTGAGAGAGAAATGTTCATTAATTTGCCCAAGTTTTGATGTTTAGGGCACATATAATTGTGTCTATTCTTTCATCCCAAATAATATTTGTCTTCTTATATACAGTGTTGATCAGACTACCTAGAACTGTACTGTCCAATAATGCTGTCACTAGTGATACTTCGTTATGTAAGTTTAAATTCATGAAATAGCATTATAATTTCAGTTTCAGTTGTACTAGCCGCATTTCAGACACAGCTAATGGCTACAGTCTTGGACAGCATAGTTTGAGAACATTTCTGTCATCACAGAAACTTCTATTAGTGTTAGGCTAGTGATTTATAAGTTTCATTTTTTTCTAAAAGAACTAAATTTTACTGTTTTTCTCTACTGTTAGCTTTCTATGTCACTGATTTTAGCTCTTAATTTTTTTTCCTTCTTTCTACTTCTTTTGGGTCTAATAGCATATGTTTTTCCCCTACAATGATAATCTAAATGCTTAAATCACTGCTTTTTAACTTTTTTTTTGTTTTTTTTTTGTTTTTTGAGATATGGTCTCACTATGTAGCACAGGCTGGCCTGGTGATCCTCCTGCCTGAGCTTCCCAAGCACTGGGATTACAGGCATGTGCCACCATGCCCAGCTCACTGCTTTTCAACTTACTTTTTTCCTAATGTAATAATTTAAAGCTGTTTGTTTTCATTCTAAACACTTGTGTAGGTGAATTCTACACACTCTAATAATATGCTGTGTTTCCATTATCACTCCAATCAAAATACTTTCACGTTTCCCCTTGGAATTCTTCTTTCACTCAGGAGTTACACATTTTGTTTATTTTCCAAGCATCAGAGGGTTTCCCACATAGCTTTCTGTTAGTAATTTTCAGTTAATTCCAATTTGGTCAGACAATATACTTTAAATTTTCAATAATTTGTGTGACCAGACTAATGCTGGAAACTAGGCACTCTCAAAAACCTCTGGCAATTGCTGATCCTTCATCTTATTGATCAACATCATATTCTGGTTGTCACAAAACTGGACTGAAGGCCAGAAATATGAGTTCAAATGAAAGTAAAATTCTTCTACGCTACCCTTGCTTTTCCTCCTGCATGGGATTCCTTCTCCTTCCAGAGCTCCTGACTCTTCTGAAAGTGACAGTACAGCTCATGTTCCCAGGAACCTCAATTTCTCCCCACCCTTCTAACTTCCATCCTGCCAAATCTCAAAGAAGAGCCACTGCAGAGACAAAGGAGCACCAGAAATGAAAAGGAGGAGGAGGAGGAGCCACAATACCTTATATGTCTGAATCTTGAAGGCCACACATTGTCACTTCTGCCACATTCCATTTGTTAGAAGTAAGTCACTAAGTACAGCACATGCCTTTTGAAGGGAGGAGTATCAAACAATTTGTGGACACATTTTAAACCACCAAAACAATGTCAGAATTTTTACTTTAAAGGAAATTAAGAGAAGGAAAGAAAATATTTAGTTATTTTTTCAAACATATTTCTGGCTTCTTCATTCCTTCCAAAATCCATGGATCAGTAAATGAGACTCCATGGCCCAAATCAAACCCATTGCCTACCTCTTTATCACCTAAGAACTAAGAATTGTTTTTAAATAACAGAAAAATAAGAACATTTTGTAACATGAAAATTCTATGAAATTTAAATATCAATATCCATAATAAAGTTTTATTAGAACACAGTTATATTTGTTTATTTATGCATTGTCTATGGCTCTGTCCACAGAAGAGATGAATAGTTTAAACAGAAATCTTATGCCCCACAAAGCCAAAAATATTTACAACCTGGCAATATGCAGCAAAAATTCACCAAACCCTACTACAGATCAAAATTACCATGATAAGGTGATTTCCTTTAAGCCTTCCATTCTTATTTTTCATAGAGTACATGTTTCTTCCATTATTATTTCTCATAGAGTACATGTTGTGTGTGTGTGTTGTCTGTGTGTGCTTTTTTCTTTATTGTTTGGAGTCTGTTTTGTTTTGTTTTGAGATAGGGTCTTACTCTGTAATTCAGGCTGGCCTTAAACTCACTATGTAGTTCAGGCCTAGAACTCATAATGATCCTCCTGCCTCTGCCTCCCAAGTACTGGGATTACAAGCACACGCCACCACACCTGGCTAGAGTACATATATTATGATGACAGATGTTCTCTCAGATTCTATAAATCTCAAAATGTCTTTACTTCATATCCATTTCTGAAGAACATTTTTGCTAAATGTTAACTGGGTATTACAAATAATATGTGGTAGCAATCCTGGATACGCCTATGTTCTTTGGAAGAAACTTTTCTTTTGACAGTTAACGTCACTGGGAGCATACTGCACATACAGAAATTTTTGGCTAAAATTTGTTTTTGTTTTTTGGGTTGAGGATTTTTTTATCTGGAATTTTAAATATGATTTTTAAATGCACTCTGGCCTATACTATCTCTACTGACAATCCAAGTATTAACTGTATCATTATTCCCCTATATTGAATGTGCCAATTTTGTTTCTGGCTACTTTTAAGACCTTCCCCCTAAGTCTGGCATTTAGAAATTTGTCTACAATATGCATAATTATGATTTTCTTTTATATTTATTTTGTTTGGACATCATTCATCTTAGATCTATAAACTAGTGTATTTTTGTTTTTAACCAAACAAGAACTGTTTTGCCACTTTCTATTCTTAAATGGAACTCAAAGCAGAAAGACTTCAACTTTCTACACCACAAGCTGTATACAAGTAGAAAATGCCCTCAGTTAAAGAAAGAAAGAAAGAAAGAAAGAAAGAAAGAAAGAAAGAAAGAAAAAGAAAGAAAGAAAAGCCAACTTGAAAGCCTGACCTACCACAGTTTCATCTTTCAAGGTTTATTTCCCATTTGGTTTCCACCACTGCGACAAGTTCCCAGTGTCCTCCCTGTATAACTCACAGCAGCCAGGGTCATAGGAACAGTTACAGTGTAAATTTGGGTTTTAGCCTGTTAGTAGCTCTCCCAGTTCCAACATTTTCCTCCTAAATCCCCAGTTGCTCTGACAGATTTCAACTTTGTTCTCTATCTCCTATCTCTACACAGCTATGGGAGCTAGAGAGCCCTTCATGCAAAAAAGCCACAAACACAATTCTTACCCACTACTTTGCTTACTTTCAAGAAGAAACAAACCCTGCTCTTTCCCTATTTCTCATGTTTTCCTAATATTTTTAAGTAGTTGATTATTTTAATTTTTTTTCCAGGTTTCATCATGTTGCCTGCAGAAGAGTTCCTTCACTTCACCAACAGACAATTTCTTCAAGCTGGCAGTCCCAACTTAAAATTATAATTTCATATATCATAAAATTTTAATTATTGTTAGCACTATAGTGAAAAATAGAATAACTAAGTAACACAATGTAAAGTTTCAATGTCCAAAAACGTAGAAACCTGCATGTGAAAACACATAAATGAATAATTTCCTTACACAGCCTATGATGAGGTTGGTGCTTTCCTACCCTGGGTGCACATATAGTAAGTTAGAATATGGTCAGGGCTGAAGTTGTCAAGCTGAGTCAGGACAAAACAAAACAAATAAACTACATGCAATTACTTAAGAGTTACAAAGAATTAATTTGAGCTCCCTGAAAAAGATCTGCAGACTGTTTTAAATATTGTGCCATGGACTAAAAGAACAACAAGAAGGATAGTAAGAATGAGGACTCATATACTTTTCAGAAACAGTAACAATGAGTAACCTTCAAGAATGTCCTTTTAAAATTAAATACTTACCTTTGTTCTTTTTAAGACTGGAAAATATTTTAAGTAGTTTTGCAAAATACATTATTTTCTTATATTAAGACAATATATACAAGAGAAACTGAAAAAATAACTCACAACATTTCCTTTTAGGAATTCTACTTGTATTCTTCCTTCACTGACACTGGATACTAAAAATCTGTGCAATTCTCACCAAAAAATCATGAAACTAGCAACTGGAATCTGGCAAAATTTACTAAAATTTTAAAATACATTATGTAAAGTAAATTCAGTCCACAATGCAGGGAATTACTAAATTAGGCTTTACAGATTGTGAAGATTCATTTATTCCCAAACTTTCTGTAGCCCAGTAACCGTAATCTCAATAGTCAAAAGAACCAATTTCATGCAGAATGAATACAACAAAGAGCAAGAGAGGAAATGGATACCAAGGGCATCTTTTACACTGAGTTTATAAAAACAAACAAAAACAAGAATATGCACCACTGTTTTGTTATTCTTACTTAACATGAAATACTGGCGTGGTGGCTTTGCCCTAAACCAAACACAGGAAAATCTGACTGGAGGACTGCAATCCACCTCAAGAGATTTGTCAATGACATACAAAAGCAGCATGGTGATGCTGAAATTCAATCATGAAGGCATATAAAAATAAGCCAGGTTTCAAAAGGGGTTTGAGGAAAATTTGGGAGCATGATGAATATGATGATTATAGTGATAACTTCTTGAGTCCCAACATATGTTAAAATTTACCAAGTTCTCTTTGTATGCAGTTTTACTTCAATTCTATCTCAATAAAGCTTTTAAAAGTGAGCAGGGAAAAAGTTCTGTTCTATTTTATCTGTCACTCACCTACTTGCAAGACAAAAATGGAAGCCAATTGAGTGTCAGTAACCAAGTTCAATAACTCAATGATCATATGCAAACAAGAGAGTGACACAAGTTAAAAAAAAAAAAACAAAAAAAACTGTATCAGTACTTTCAAGAGGAAGCACTACACCCTTTAAGAAATATCTTGAGACTGCTCACAGGATTATGGAAGTCACGTTGCCCATGCATTCTAGGTCCCACCCTGTGTACAATGCTCTTGATTTCCATTTCCAAATGGATGTGTGACAACAGAATTTATCAGGATTTGTAGCCTTACTGTACTTCTCTTCCTTGCACCTCTGCAGAATCTCTAAGCTCCTCTGGTGGACTGGGTGTTGGAGAAAGCTAAAACTATCCATACTTTTCAAAATTGCACAGGGCGCTGTATCATCATGTCCTTAAGAAGCAAAAGACAAAAAAAAAAAAAAAAAAAAAGGAGAAAAGACATTATATAAGCCCAAACCAATGAAGAATCAAACACAATGCTGCCAACTATCTTAAGATTTATAAACAGCATAGAGTATAAAGGTTAAATGTAAACAATTTTTCCAATTCATTTGAGAAAACTGCATACAAATAGTAGGGAAAAATAAAGTTCCTTTTCAGGTATTCAAAGTGTCCTTTTTACTACCCAAAGAATTATGAGTTAATACATATTAAAGTTTCTAAATTAAAATATTTAGGAAAACAATTTATATGATTTAGTTATTTTTTTAAATTCTTTTCATCAGATCTGACATAACATTAGCATATAGTTGGCAACATTGTTGGAACCCCAAAGAGAAATATACCCAGAACAGTTCACCAAAAATTAAATAATTCTTTCAAAAGTTCTGCAATTAACCACACTTGGAGGAATTCTAAGTGTGTCAATAATCAGTGTGAAGAAAAGCAGCATAGAGCAAAGAAACCCAGCAGCACTTTTTTTAAATAAATCTGAAAATAAAGCTGCAGAATCTGTACCTCACCACCACTTCTTAGGAAAATGAGACAGAAAATCATCTACATTGGGAAAGGAAGAACACACATTTAAGTAAAGACCAAATCCCCAGATTAGTGTTATTTACACGGTGAGTCACTCCAACAGTGTATGTGTGGGGGTGAGGGGGTCCCCAAACCATAAATGTTGGCAATAAATGAACTGAAAAGAGAAAACAGGGTTTCCAGGCTTTCAGGGAGTTATATATCATTTTACTCAGAGATCACCTGGAGAGTTAAGAGTACAATGTTTAAATTTAAATTGTTTTTCCTTGAAAAAGAAAGCAAAAATGGCATAATTTAATAACAGAGGCAACTTAAGCACCACAACAATGAATTAAAATTCAATTAGTACAGTTACTGTATTGGGAACAAGATACAGGGTAATAATCTATGAACAGTTTTCAAGGCAGAATCATTTTAACAGTTAAACAGTGGCAGGGTAATTCAAAGAGGTTTGTCAAGTATATACATTTTAATCTCACTGTAACACCCTAAACTGGGGACCTAAATTCAGACAACTGGCATCTGCAGTTAGCAAAGGATAGGGAAACTTATAATTAATAAATCAAATACTACACATAAATTTTAGGCTTTTTAAAAAAGATTTGAAATGAGTATATGATAATAAAAAGTTACTAAGTTAATAGAGCACTATCATTTACCCAAAGAAAATCAAGAGTTGCAAGCGTTCAGTATTTCAAAAAGACACAAGTATAACTAAGTTTACCAACATTTTATATTCAAAAGACTCCTCAGTAAAAACAGTCTATCCCCATTATTAGTAATTCCCACTTGATGGGCTGCTTGGAGAACATATGCTCAACTATCAGTCTAGCCTACAAGCCTACAAGAGTCAGTTGAGGGGGGGGCCAGTTGAGAAAAAAAAATACCTGACAAGCTCTATGTATCCCATCTAAATTGCAATTTTAAGAAGTTATTACTAAATTATCTGGCCCTTCAACAGCTACTTTGATAACCTGGTAGTCAGAAAGAATTCGAGAAGACTATGAATGTCAGGTATGGTGGTGCACTCCTATAATCCCACCACTCCATAGGCTGACGCAGGACTGCTGTTAGTTCGAGGCCAGCCTGGGCTACACAGCGAGTTTGAGACTAGCCTGGACTACATGGTGAGGCCCTGTCTCAAAGAATAAAAAGAAAAAGAAAATTATGAGTGAATAGTATTCTATGAATGAGTGCAGAAGATGAAATATACTGATTTACTATGCAGAACTTAAAGAAATCACTCAATATTAGTCAATCTTTCTTAAGTAACTTCTACGAAGTCATGGTGTGTAATACTTTATCTGTTTCTGGATTCAGTCCACTAATATTTTGTTAAGAATTTTTGTGTACATATAGGAGATATTTGTTTGTAGTATTCTTTTCTTATGATGCCTTAATCTGATATCCAAGTAATACTGCCCTCAGAAATTGCAATGGAGCACTGAGGAGGCTGAGGCAGGAGGATTGCTGAGAGTTCAAGGCCAGCCTGGGCTACATAGTGAGTTCACAAACTACCTAGTGAGACCCTGTGTCAAAAAACCAAACAAAAAGTCAAACAAAAACAAAAACAAAAACAAAAAAACCACCCAACAAACAAAAACCAAAAGAAAATGAATGGAAATTATTCTTTCATCTATTTTTTTGAAAGAACTTTGGCACAATTGATCTTAATTCTTCAAATATTTGATATAATTCATCAGTGAACTCACTAGACAATGGTTATTTTTGTAAGAGGTTTTTCCGATTATTAATTCAATCTTTTTCCTTGTTACAGGCTTATTCAAGTTTTCTGTTTCTTTTAGAGCAGTATTAGAATGCTGGGTGGGTATGCCTTTCCAGAAACTTGCATTTCAACTAGGTTTCAATTTTTTTACTTACTCCATATAACCAATCTATTTTTTTTTTAACTTTCATAAGTTTACCAGAAATGGCCCTTTCCTTTCACTAGTGAAATTAGTTAGTATGAATCTGTTTTATGTGGAGTCTGGCTCAAGGTTTGCTAACTTTGCTTATCTTTTCAGAGACTCAAGTTTTGGTTTTCTTTTCACTATGTTTTATCCCTTACATTTATTTCACATTTAATACATCCTTCCTTCTGCCTATTTTGGATTTTACTTACTCTTTTTCTACCCTCTAGAATCTTCTATTCCTGGTTTGAAATTTTTCTTCTTTAGTAATACAACCACTTAAGGGCTACCAACTTCCCTCTGAGCAGTCTTAGCAGCATCCTGTAAGTTTTGGTGTTGCTCTGTTTTTCTGTGCTCTCCCCAGAGTGTCCAGGAGGACCTGTGGCACAGCCCCACTAAAACTCTACTCACTCATTCAGGTGAGGATTCTGAGGTCCTCTGCCTAACAAACAATACCTGGTGGGCTACAGGCTGACTTGCAAGAATTAGGATGGGCCATGTTCATGTCTTGTTATCCCCATTTATCTCAAAGTTGTTTCTAACTTTCCTTTGATTCTTCTCTGACCCACTGTTTATACTCAGGTATGTTACTTACGTCCCACATATTAAGATATTTTTATTCCCCTTTTCCACATATTTTCTAGTATACTGTTTCAATTTATGTTATTTTTAGTTATTTACTTAATAGTTGCCAAGGAAACATCTTAATCGACAGCACTCTGATATGGATTGAAAACAAATTTAACAATATATGAATGTTTTCCCTCCATTCCCTCCCTCTGTACTTTACACTATTATTCTCACAGAAATTGTAACAACTTACAACTTTCTAACAATTTTGTGTTACAATTCTTTCTTTGTATTATAATTCTTTCTGCATCAAAGCAGTATTTCCATCAAGAAAAAAAGTAATTATTGCTTTATGCAACTATCTCTCAAATCAGATTGAAGGAGAAAGTATTTATTGTTTTTGTATTTGCCTATAATGGTGGTCTTCATTTCTTCAGGTGTACTGAAGTTATTGTTTAGTGTCTTTTTACTTCAACCATAAGAACTCCTGTGGAGCAGGTCTGCTACTCATAAAGTCCTTTAGTATTTATTTATCTGGGATTGTCATAATTTCACTATCATTTTTCCCCATTCTTTTTTTAAAAATTTCACTTTCGTGTTGAAGTATGGTTTGGCTGGAGACAAAATTCTTTATTGACAGTCTTTTTAATTTTCTTTCCACAAGCTGAATATGGCACCCCACCACCTTCCACATCGATGGTGTCTGACAAGAAACCATTTATTAATCTTACTGAGGATGATTCTGTGCACAGCATTCTCTTCGTGTCTAGACAGTTTAGTTGTGATGTATATAAATTATGATCTCTGAATCTATCTTCCTTGTAGTTTGTTGAGCTTCCTGCACATGTGAATTAATATTTTTCATTAAATTTGAGGAATTATAGCCATGACTTGTTTCTGGTCCTTTTGTTTCTTTTCGTTTGGACTGTCAGAAGTTGGTACACTTGATGGTTTCTAACAGAACTCTGATACTTTGTTCATTTTACTTCATTCTAATTTCTTCCTGGTCTTTACACAGAACAATCCCAACAGATCTGTCCTTAAGTTCAGGGATTCTTTCTTCTGCCTGTTTAACTCTACTGCTAAACTCCTCTGATAAATTTCCATTTCAGTTATTGGTACTTTTTTCAAAGCATATTGGAGGGAAAAGAGTTATAAAATGTAAAAACTTAAACACTGTCTTACATATTTAACCAGGTATTTACATGTACCATGTAGTTGCTATCTCTTTATTACTAACTTTACTGAGATGTTGTTCTCATATTTTCTTTTACTTCTTCAGACATGTTCTTTTAGGTCAGCTAGATAGTTTACAACTCTGTCTTGGCCTCCACTTCCTGCTTGAATAGAAGAAACTCAAAGTCAGCCAGAATTAAGAGCTCAGGAACATCTTGGTCTGTTTGGTCATGCACAGAGCCCTACACAAGTACACAGACAACTGCATTCCGGGAAGACAGTGGAATTTCTCAAAGGCATTACAGATCTCTCATTCCCAGCTTTCCTTAGAAGCTGTTTGGTTAGGCCACAGAGTTTGCCCCAATAGCAATCAACCACCCACAGCAGCTGCACTGTTCAATAAGTCATTCTAATTCTTTCCAACAGTGTACCTGGGTTATAGGCTGTTCACATTGGGTAAACTCCAAATTAATAAATCCAGCCTTTACAAATTGGTTCTTCAGGGAACTACTCAATAGGCTGAATGATAAAAATTCTCTATGGATGAGGCCTTGAAAGAGTGCCAAATCCTCTTATTTCCCTCCAGTGGTTGGCCCACTGATTCATACTATGATTCTAGGCTGCTGGTTTTCAGGGTTACTATGAAGTGGGGAAGGAAGGAAAGTGAAGAGTGCACATTAAAATGTCACAAAGTGCACCATCTTTATTGATATTCACCCTTTTTTCTCGTATAAAAACTTTCTAGGTTACTCTCAGCCTTTGATTTTCCATAGTTCTGATGAAATAATTCTAACAATTTTCATTACTGCTTCCTGTTGCTTTTATGGAAGACAATTTTTGGACAGCCTTAGCTCATTCATTTCACTGATGCTTAAGCCAAAACTCTTAGTTCTCATGCTATAGTGCTCAACACAGAAGTGACTTATAAATAATAGTCCAGATTTTTTTTAAAAGCCAGTGTACATTTAACTTCTCTTCAGTGCAGGTAAACCTGTGGACAAACGCTGCACAGAGATAATGCACCTACAGTAATAGCCAAGTTAGTTTTCCTATTTGGTCATTTTTCAAAACAGATGGTCACTAGAATTCTTCCCACACAGAAACAAAGGAAGTGTGTACATCAGAGTTACATAGTTCACTGAGTAAGATAATGAAGAGGAATGGTTTATATAAGATTCTTGGGCTGGGGATTTAGCTCAGCGGCAAAGCGCCTGCCTGGCAAGCGCAACGTCGTGAGTTCAGTTCCCGGTACCGGAGAACCCCCACTCCCAAAAAAAAAAAGATTCTTTAACCTTCTTACCTGCTGACACCACATGAATAGCTTTAGCATCCCTGTTCATCAAAAAAATTGGATAACATTTTGAGCCCTTTTATTACCCTCCCTTTCCCAATGCCACGGCTGAATTCCTTGTGTTTGCCTAGCGCTTTTAGACTCTTGAAAATTCCTTTTTGTACACTTTTTTATACTTTTTATACTTTTATGTAACTCCAATAAAATCAATTAAATATCACTGTGCTCAGGTTTTACAGGCTATAAAATACATGGTCAAAATTATGATCTCTCTATAGTTTTGGCATGATCATTAAATGATGGTATCTACCCTGGGCTCATACTTATTTAGGAAATCAGAGATAAGGTGGATGACTCAGAATTGGAACAACTGGTCTACATTATCTCACTGCTGACCAAACAAAGCATTACAACTTCTCATTCCATCTCCTAGCACAGTCAAATTGCAGCTCCACTAAAATTGCCTATTTATGAGACTATTAAAGAGAATTTTTTTTAAAAGTTGTTTTTCGGTTTCAAATACAGTAATCAAATCACCATAATATACATTCTACAACTATATATGCTAAATTTTTTCTCAAAAACAGTAATTAAAATAATTTTTATTCGAAGGCATTAAAATGGTATTAATTTGGAAGGCTGCACAAAAGACAAAATAACAAAAAAGTAGAGTTCAATTCAATTTTCTCAGTTGTATTCAGTCTGCTTGATTAAGAAAAAAAAAGTCAGGAAATTCCTTGAAAAAAAAACAGGAGGGAGGGATGTTTATTGTTGTTCCCTGTTTGGATGTTTCTTGATAATTAGTTAAGAGTCCACAATACATTGTTGAAAGGAAAATATACTACATCATTTTTCTTCATTAGAAATGTTATCTTTCCCAGATAGCTCACTTGAGATGTTAGTAAGAATTGCCTCCTCAGTATTCTATAGCCATGATGAGGAGGAGGCCAAGGAGAGAAAACAAAGAGACCGAGAAAAAGCAGCTGCTTTTGCTGCACCACTAAGAGAAACAGATCCCAGGTCTGATTCCCGGGGCTCCAAGAAGAACTCGACAACTGCATTCATCTGCTACCACTGTTAAAAGCCAGGCCACCTCAAGAGGAACTGCCCTAAGAGGCCCCATGGGCCATGCCCTGGATGCAAAGGAGACCACAGGAGATCGGTCTGTCCTCTGAGGTGGAGGCCCCAGAGCTCAGACCCATGCTACCAGTTAGTCCAACAGGAATGAGAGGGCTTGGGGCATGGTCTGCCTTCTCCCTCTGGCCAGACCATCATCTCCATCGAGGAGTCCTGGGTAATCATGACTATGGAGGAACAAGAAAACAGCCTGTTGCTAGACACAGGTGCAAGTCTCTCTGTCCTTCTTTTCAATCCTGGCCTTCCTTCCAGCCATCATACCTCGGTGAAAGGAGTCACTGGTGAGGAGGTAATATGCTATTTTTGACAACCCTTAGGCTGTAACTACTTATTAGATCCTTCTTGCATATCTCTGTCTTCCTGAGAAGCCACTTTGAAGATACCACCACGTATTACAGCAGCCATTGATATTTTCCTACTAATCTATCCATAACTGTGTTAAGTTTGTAATGTTCCTATCCTATTTCATAATGTATGTTTATTATTATGTGTTTCCTACAACAACCATTGAGAATAGTTAATGATTTTTCAATAGGTCACTCATGTATAGCTCTATTTATTTTCTTTAGAAGCCACTATGAAGATACCAAAGTATAGTACAACAACTCTTGATAATCTCCTACCTCTTGTCTCTAACTCACTATTATTTGTCTATTTGTTTTCCTGAGAAACTATTTTGTAGATAACAATATGTAAAACGATAACCATTGATAATTTCCTACCATTTTGTCTGTAATTTGCTAAGTCCCCCCTATTATGATGTTATCCTTCTTTTATTCTTTAAAATAAAAAAAAAAGTTATGAGAAAATTCACAGGAGATAAAAAACAAGTGAAGCAAATGAAAAGATGATCAATTAAAAAAAAAAAAAAAGAAATGTTATCTTTGACTTCTTATTTGCATTTTAGATCTGGTCTTGGTTACCTTTTGCCTACCACACTTTGATTCTGCTTAAATAATCTCTTACTCATATTTCATCTTAGTATCTATGTACTACTTATGAACACTGTAAAAGTTCTGGATCTACCACATAAATTCATTTTAACAGTGAATCTGTTTTCATTTTGCAGTGCTATAATGTTCTAATTATATGATTTCTTTTTATTCAAAGTCACAAAAGAAAGGGGTGAGATGAAGGGGGCAAAATGCTAGGGTGAATGGTGGCACTGACACTAATACATTTTAACATGTTCTGCTGGCTTCAACTACCCGTGGTACACATATGACTGTCCCATTAGGCAGCCTGCATTACCCAATAGGATTGCCCCAAGCCCCTCGATGAGACTGTTGCATGTACCACCAATTGTTCAGAGCTGGCCAGCAGCAGGACATACAAATTATGGCCCCACTGTGAATGTGATAACAGAAAAACCTTTTCTATGTCTGTTAATATGTTTTCCTTCTTGTATTTTTTAAAATAAAAAACAAAAAAAAAGAAAGGAAAAACTTTTTCTGAAATGAATCTTCAGGGGCTGGGGATTTAGCTCAGCAGCACAGTGCCTGCCTGGCAAGCGTGAAGTCATGAGTTTGATTCCTGGTACTGGAAAAAAACCCAAAATGAAATGAATCTTCACTTAGATTTCAATATGCAAATTTATCAGTGTTTTTCTTTTCCTTTACCAAAAATAAAATGTTTATACAAAGAATTCTGGGGCATTGGCAAGGCTCTACCTTTCTTCCTAAGTGGTAATTCCAAGGGTGTTTTTACATTGTGATACTTTACTGAGCTAGCCATGCTCGCTTTATGCATTTGCTGTATGCGTATCATATTCTAAATAAAAGAATTTCCAAAATGATGTTTATATGGAAGCTCTGCACAACTGAGAAAGAAAAACTAGATTATTAAATAGGAATAAATTTTATCAAGACAATACCACTGTGTATCACTTCCCAAATTTATAGTAATGACCACAAAACAACTAGCTTGCACAAACAGATTTCAAACGCCAAAGAAACACGAAGGCAATGTGAAATTGCAGAAAATGACATTTTGAATAGTAAATACAAGAAAAGTTTTTCTTCACAGTTAATAACATCTTAGAAGATACTATCAGTTCTGAATATATCTGAAGATATCCATTTTACTATAAATCTGTCGTGATAAAAAGGAAAGCAGCTTAAAGGCAAAAATCTCTCCATACAGTTCTGTTAAAAAGCATAACCTCTCAGGAACCACTTTGTAAAGGCAAACCAAGTCTCATATAGTCCTTTTATTTATTCAATAAACTACAGTTATCCCTATCTATCAAGACCACTTCACATATATTACAACCTGAAAAACACAAACTAAGTTTAATTTCAATCTCCCAAGTAATTTATTTATTCATTTCAAATAACTAAAAACTGATTTTAAACTTTTATTCAATGCTTTGTCTACAACTAGGGCTATAGCAAGCAATGGTTCAGTTTCCTAGATCACAAGTGCTTATGAAATTGCCCTCCCACACAATGGGAAATGGGATATGTCATGGTTTGAGGAGGAAGCGTGGAGGGAAAAAAAATCCTTTTCAAAATTTCAAAGGGAAAATTCAATAAACTAAGGGTAAGAGAAAAAGAAAACTAATATTTAACATGCTCTGCCTGAGTTATTAATTTATCTAAGATAATTAATAAATTAATTTAAAAAGCAATACTGATTTTTACAGAAAAGAAAAAATGCTCTAAGTCACAAAAATCAGTCAGAAGATATGACACTGAAGCAGGGTTCCCTTCACTTTATTATACTACCTCCACCCTACCCTTTCTTTCTCCTAATTTATACTGCTATGTTTCACTATAGTGAAAAGTATGCAAGAAAAAAAAAAGGACAAAAATTAAATTCTAAATCATTATATATTCATTATCACTGATTTTTGTTCAAAATCATACCAATGACTTACTGTCTAGGAACCAAGTGCTTTATGTTCATTATTCCTATCACTATTAATAAAAATATACCTACACATATCTAACATAGATATTTAATTATAAACTATACTTAGCGTATGAGTTCTGAAACATGATGTCAGAGTATGGGAAGAAAACAGAACAAAATAAAAATTACTGTGGCACTACTCGTTGTAGGTAAGACATTAAAAAGACAAGATAAAACATGGTAAAATACCAGTAACTACTGCTTACCAATTTTTCTCTGAATGTGTCTTTTCCCAGCTTCCCTGAAAGCAACCACAGCTCGGAAAAAGGCTCGGAGAACTGCCCACCGGAAAATAGCTACAGGATCAAGTCCAATCATCCCAGAGATAAATGCATTCTTGCTACTTCTCAGAAGAGCTACAATGTCTGGACGCATATGATCTGTATTTTTCTCCCGGAAATCCTGTGTCAGAAAAATACCAGAGTTACTTGGGAAAAACTGGTAATATCAAGGGGATAAAGGATGACATATTTGATTTGGGGTTGAATAAAGATGAAAGAAGTGAACCTTCTTCTAGGTAGCTAAATGCAATAGCTATCTTCTGTAAGGTACCAGTCAACCCTAAAACTACTGAATTCTACAATACATACAAGTTAGAATATTTCACAATTTTATCACAGCTTGTTAGATAATGATCAGGCTCAGCCTTTCCAAAGGAAAGTATTACAGAAAATGGTAAGAAGGCTGGAAAACCAAAAGGAGCCATTATGAGAAAACCAGGAAGAGCAGTGCAAGCAAAGGAACACATTATACTCCTTGTGGCAATAAGTTGACAAAGTCAAGAGACAAACTGTAAAGCCAGGGCCTGGAGAACATCATGATCAAATGTGAGAATGGTGGAAAATGAGCCAAATAAGTAGTACATTTATGTTCTGCAAGACTGAGTTAAGAGCATCCAAGTGTAAAGGGAAACAACTAGGTAATGACAGTAGCCAACTGGTATTTTATGAACACCTGATGTTGCACAAGAAGTGAAAAGTACACAGAAGGAACAGAAAAAGGGAGAACACATACTGTGCTAACCAGAGAAGAAGCCTCTGTTGGTGGTTTGGGGTAGGCAGGTGGTAATGGAAATGGAAAAGAATTATCATATTTGGGGTATATTTAGGAGGTAAAGGCAAAGGACTTCCTGATGAATTAAGGTATGATAAGAGATTGCAGAAATTAGATTAACATTGTTTTGTCCCTATCACACAATAAGTGCAAGTACAAGAGTCAAACACAGCTACCTATAATAATTATTTATGGAGTGATCAGAAATATAGTAAATGATGCTCCTGAGTGCCACCAAAAGAAACACAGGCTCACAATAATATTTTAGTATGTCCTCAGCTACCGTATTCACCAGATCAGGCAGCGAGCAACTTTGGGCTCTTTTCCAAAGTCAACATAACCATGAAAGGGAAGCATTTTGAATAGATTCAGGACATGAAGGGAGCCGTGACAGCTTAACTAATAAAGACATTCATGGAAAAGGCCTTGCAGAACAGCTTCAGAAAGTGGCACAGATAGCAGGGTAAGTGTATTTAAACAAGGGGCATATCTGAAGGGATTTAAAGTTGATGTGTCCTTGGGTGTAGTGGCACATACTGGTAATGCCAACCTTCAGGAGGCTGAGGCAAGAAGATCACCATGAGTTTGAGGCCAGCCAGGGCTACATTACTGTAATGATTTTTTTTATTTCAGCATACACCATATTTTTCTATTGCACCTTCTATTTAAATATTATCACCATGCAATTTTGGAGGGTTTGTTTGTTTTCAGACAGGGTCTCCACATTCTCCAGGATAGTTCTCAACTCATTATATGGCCCCAGGCTGGCTCAAACTCACAATCTTCCTGCCTCAGCCTGAGTGCTGACAATATCAGCATGTGCCACATACCTAGCTTAGCATATAGATTTAAAAATCTGTGGTTAAGATGACCTAACAACTGTAAATACCCATCTGCTAAAGCATGCAAGTTAGTGGAGCTAGAACACAAGAAAATAGATTATAATATTCTGTAGAAATATGAGGAGGGAAGGAAGCTAATAAGCCAAGAATAAAAGTTCAGAATGTTCTGTATAGTGAAATACTGACTATAATCTTAAAACTATATACAGCAAATGAAAAGACTAAAGATATAGTGAGTACATGTGATGGTTAATCTTGACTGTCAGTTTGATTGGTCTGAGAGACACCTAGGAGATTAATAAAGCACAATTCTGGGAGTGTCTGGGTTGATCATGCGGTGTGACTGTGAGACCTGCATCTGGTCCCTGGCCCCTTCCTCTCTGGCTCTCCCTTGCTCTCTGCTTCCTAAATGCCTTGAAGCCAGCTCACCATGGGCCAAAACTTCTGAAATCATGAGCCAAAATAAATCAACTCTCCCATAAATTATGTATACCAGGGATTTAGTCCTGTCAATGGAAAGGTAATAGAGTACATCATTCTAGCTTGGTACAGCTTCACAGAATACTTTCAATTCAGAATTCCATGAGCAGCATTCCTAGAGTGTCATGGAGCCCAATGCACAGAAGTCAGCAGGGACTCCATAACCTTTAGGGCTCTCCTTTCCTAATCCCTGTTTGTTCTGAAAACAAGGGGAAAAAGAAACTTCCCAGGAGTCTTAATCCTGGGCTCCTCCTTAAATATCCTTAGAGCAGAAACTAACTGTCTCTGTCTGTCTGTCTGCCTGTCTCTTTCTCTACTTCTCTCTCTCTCCCTCTATCTCTCCAATTTCAGTAAGAGTTTTCAACCCCAAACTAATACTACCACTATGTAATTATTACTTAAAACGTAAGAGCTGTCAGGCACAAATATGGTGTCAGGCATTAACTTATAAAACATATTGTATTTTATTCACACATTAATAAAGCAGATTCAAACATAATACTCTGATAATTAAGTAGGAAGGTAAAATTGTCTACTGAAAGACAAAAAGAGAAGTACCAGTGCAGAAAATGAAACACTAACCTGCACCACTCCGAAGACAATCCCACTGTATTAACAACTACACTTTACAACCTAAAATTCTAAAATTTTTCCATGACCAATGTGAAGTACTGGTAGTGACCAATGACTTTCATTTTCCAAGTGAGATGGACCTTCAGATTTCTCAATTTCTAGGTACTGTACCCTATAGAAATTTCTAGATATCTACAGACATGGGCCATCACACCCAGCTGATTTATATGCACATGTGTGTACATACAGAGTCAGGAGTATATCTATCTAGTTCACTAGAGATTGTTCCTGAGAATAAGCAGAGTCGGACATATGATCTGTGTTTAACAATTCTTAAATAAATGAATCAGTAAATGGATGAATAAGTTACCTTAACTAAGACATACATGTAAGACCCAAGAAAAAAACATACTGCTCCACTATTCTTCATATCATCACTGCATTCCTGGGAAATTAAGTATCTTAAATTGAAGGTACACATAAACTTCAAGTGGTGGAAGAGTAATAGTCTTGCCAATTACAAACAAGGAATGGATGACATGAAGATTCCCCTTCCTAGGAGTTAGGAGTTTCAATACTTTCATTAGGAGTGCAAGTTTACAAATGCTTAATGGTGCATGATGAAGTCCCTGTCAGAACTTATGGGGGGGGTTCAAAAAACTATGTAGAAAAACCAATGACTTTGAGGTATGTGTATGTATGTATGTATGTGTGTGTGTGTGTGTGTGTGTATGTATATATATAAAAAACCTATTCTTTCAGATTGAAAATTCATTAGAATGGACTAACATCAGACTTTAATCTGCAAAAGGAAGTAAACAAAAACATTACTTAAGAGAGTAATGTACTGAAAAGTAGATCTTAAATTTTAGTAGTAACTTTATAAAATGTTTTCAAATTGTACTGACCAAGAATCTCCAAAAACTACAAAGAAAACAGCATAAGTATACAAGGTATAGTGATACAGGAACACACCTCTGCCCTGACACCATATTCAATGAGAAATTTACTGACCTTTACCCCATATTTTACTTTTCCAGCATAATGTTTTATGATGAAAGCAGGCTCCATCACAGCTGGAAATTCGATGTAAGAATTTTCTTCATGCTGATGCTTAAACTTGTCTAGTAATGTTTGATTTGTAGCTTGTGGAAAGCTGAATTTAATGGAAAAAAGGAAAAAAATATAATGAACATGCAGTGGTATAGCTTATTTTAAAGTACATTATAAGTCAAGTGCCATTTCAAACATTTAGCAGTTTACAAAGAGTTTTCATGTATAGTATGTAATCTAATTCTTATAACAAGCCAAAAAGTGAGTATAACAAGGATGGTGTTCCAATTCTACAGACAATAAAAAGCTGTGATTTTATCCATGTTTATACTTTGCAATTATCCTAAAAGAGAAATTACAGTGGTACCTCGGTTCACAAGCTTAATTCTTTCCACGATTCTGGTCACAAACCGAATTGGACAAGAAATGAATCAAATTTCCCCATAAGGTCAACACTCAACCTAACCACTGAATTTGATTCAGATCTCATTCAATTTGATTTGCAACCATAAACATGGAAAGAATTAAGTTCATGAACCAAGGTACAACTGTAACTCAAGTGATTTGTTATGTAGCTTAAATTGTACTGTACTGCAATACTATAAAACCCAACAGAAAATAAAACATACGCCTGAACATGATCCCTCGACAGGGGGACACACATGCCTTTGGCAGGCAGAGTTATCAGCAAAACCAGCAACAGGGAAGTGTCCTCACAGCATGGGGAAGTGTCCTCACAGCAGCAAGGAGCAAGTAGTTGGGCTCTGGAAAACTCCATCACCTAAAGACCAATCTCAGCCCTACATCTAGAAGCCAAGATCAGCTCCAGAGCCAGCATAAATCCCATGGCAAACTTGGTTGGAGTACACAGCACATTTCTGGAATCTGACGTGAATACTATCACAAAACTGTGAACACCAGAGGAATTTTACTACTTTTATTCTCCCCTGTTCGTCTGACTTGTCTTGTTTGGTTTTGTGTTTTGTGGTTATTTTTGTTTTGAGGTATTTTTTGGTTTGTTTTTTGTTTTTCCTCTGTTCTCTTTTTCTGACCTCCCTTTTCTTCTTTTTTCTTCTTTTCTTCCCTTCTTCCTTTTTTCACTGTTTAGGTTTCTTACCTTTCTTGTCTTCATCTACTGATCCTCTTTCTCTCTTTCCTCAACTACCTCTTGAATTTATACTTTCAAGTGAGTAAACAATGTCTCTTCCCCATATAATACTCCTTTGCATCTTCTTTCATTCTTTCCCTCCTGTGTCCTCAAGTTTCCCAAACTCAGATGATCATCCTTTAACCTTCAGCCTTCCTTCTACTATATTTGATCTCATTCATCACTTTATCCTGTCTCCTACCCATCTTAACCCCCTCGTCCCCAGCAGCAAGGTGAAATCACTCTACTAAGAAGAAAAGCACTGTATACAAGTATATGGTATATGTTTGATTTTGCTATATAACTTTAGAGTTTGTCCCTGTGGTTGGAGGCATCAGGTAAATGGTTACCAGTCTGTCAGTAGTTAAGCTATACTTGGAATTACTGCTGCTGTTAACTGTACTATTCAGCCAGGATGTCATGTATGATATAATCATTTTTTCACCCTTGAATGGTAACACTCTGATTGTATCAGGTCATAATCATCACCACAATCCAGTACCAAAGGACTGGGTGCTAAGAAAAATACTAACTGTGTATTCTTTACAAATCGGGAAGGTGAGTTCTTGGGATAGCTATAAGGTAGCACCTACATTTAGAGGACATTCCTGAAGAATAGATATCTCCTAGGGAAGCCTCAATACTAGTGATAAAGCTATCTACCATAAGAAATTAGCAAGCTTCAACATGGAAAACAAATTTTTGTTTTAAAAAATAGAAAATGGCAACATACACAATCAAAATGCAACCCCACACCTCAAGCCCAACCAGGACAAGCCTGGAACACAATGAGAGAGATGAAATTGGACAACAAACACTGGAACTTCCTGAGATGATACCAATATAAGTGAGAAAACAAGTGTTACAGAGAAAACAGTCTATCAGGTATAAAAAGAAATGATGCGTAAAACCAAAGATACTAAGAGTACACAGAGATAAGAGAATAGATGAGCTTAGGAAAATGCTAAAAAACACAAATGCTGAACATAAAAAGAAATGGAATCCATGACACAGATCCAAACAGAAATCCAAGAGATTAAAACTTCCATTGAAAGTATATGAAACATATTAAACAGACAAGAGGATAGAATATCAGATCTTAAAGACAGAATTGCAGCTAGTGATCATGAAAAGAAAGATATCCTAAAAATCGCAAGACACCATGAAAAATCAGTTCAACAGCTACAAGAAAACAAGATTGATTGGGATCAATGAGAAAGCCATAGACAGTGCAAATGCCATAAAAAAAAAAAAAAACAACCTCTTCACAGAAATAATGGGAGAAAAATTCCCAATCAAGGATAACCAATTTGATATACAAATAAATGAAGCATACAGAACTCCAAACAGCCATGACCAAAATAAAACTAGACCAAGGCATGTAATAAAGAAGATGGCAGAAATTCAGCACAAGAACAAAATATTAAAAACAATGAGAGAAAAGAAACAAATCACCTATAAAGGAAAGCCCATGAGAATCACAGTAGACTTCTCAACAAAAACCCTCAAATTAAGTAAAGGCCGGAGTAAGGTATTTCAAGCTCTAAAAAAAAAACTTCCAACCCACACTGATGTACCCAGCAAAATTATCTTTCAAAATTGATGGAGAAATAAGATACTTACGCCTGAGGAAATTCATGACCATCAAACCAGCTCTTCGCTATGCTCTGAAGCATGTATTAGAAAGAGAAAATGAAGACTACAACCACAAGAACACCAATAAAAGTGACCAAGAAGGGCAAGCAATTAAACAGAGGGGAAAGACAGAGAACCAACGAGATGAAAATAACATGGAAAAAATAAGCCAATATGTATCAACTGTAACCATTAATGTAAATAGATTCAACTCACCAATCAAGAAAAACAGATTGGAAGAATGGATTAAGAAGCAAAATCCACCAATATGCTGCATTCAAGAAAGACATTTAACCCAAAAAGAAACTCACTGACTGAAAGTCAAAGGATGGAAAACAGTATTACAGGCAACAGGACCCCAGAAAAAAGCAGAGGTAGCTATTCTATTCATAGATGTCAACTTCAAACCAGAAATGAACAAAGGAGATAAAAAGGGACATTACATATTTGTTAAGGCAGGACTCAAACAACAAGAAATAACTATCAAAATATATATGTACCAAACTCTGGGGCACCCAACTACATAAAACAAATATTAATTGACATGAAAAATCAAATAAGCATTAACACAATTGTAATGGAGGAACCTTAATACACCACTCACAATTACATAGATTAACCAGACAAAAAAAAATCAAGAAATACCAGAATTAAAACAAACCTGTGAAAAATTGGACTTAGTAGATGTCTACAGAGTGTTCCACCCTACAACATCAGAATATACATTCTTCTCAGCTGCACATGGAACATTCTCCGAAACAAACCATATATGAGCCCAGAGAACAAGGTTAGGTAAATGCAAAGGAAATGAAAGCACCCCATGTGTATCATCTGACCACAGTTCAATGCAATTGGAAATCAACAGCAAAAGGAACCACAAAAACTCCATAAACACACAGAAATTAAACACCCTCCTGAACAAAGACTGGGTCACAGAAGAAATTAAACAGTATCTACAATTAAATGAAAATGCTCATACAACATACTGGAACCTATGAGATGCAATGAAAGCAGTCATACAAGGGAAATTTATAGTGGTGACCTCTGACATCAGGAAAACAAAATGAGCTCAAACAAGCAACTTAATGTTGAACCTCAAATGCCTAGAAAAGGAAGAGCAAATCAAAACCAAAGCTCATACAAGGGAGGACATAATAAAGACCAGAGCAAAAATTAATGTAATTGAGACTAAGAAAATAATACAAAGAATCAATGAATGAAAGAGTTGGTTCTTTGAAAGGTTAAATAAGATTGGTAAGCCTATAGCAAACCTTATCAACAGGAGGAGAAAAAAGACAAATTTAAGCAATTAGGAATGAAACAGGTGAAATCACAATGGACCCTGTGGCAATCCAGAAGATCATAAATACCTACTACTTCAAAAACCTGTACTCTAATAAAATGGAAAACACAGAAGAAATGGACAGACTCCTGGTCACATATGAATTGCCAAAACTAGATCAAGAAGATATAAATACTCTAAATAATCTGATATCAGTCAATGAAATTGAAAATGTAATTGAAAACCTACCAACAAAGTCCAGATCTTGATGGGTTACTAATGAGTTCTGCAAGAAATTTAGAGAGGATAATACTAAAACTAATACTACCACTAATACTGAAACTCTTTAATGAAATTGAAATGGAAGCAATACTGCCAAAATCATTCCTGGAACTGAGTATTATTCTGATACCTAAACCAGAAAAGGACCCAACCAAAAAAAGAAAACTGCATGCCAACCTCCCTAATGAACATAGATGCTAAAATACCAGCACTGGCAAACAGAATGAAAGAAATCATCAAGAAGACTATACATCATGACAAAGTAGGATTCATCCCAGGGATGCAGGGTTGGTTCAACATATGTAATTCAATAAATGTAATACACCATATTAACAAAGCCAAGGACAAAAACAGCATCATTGCAATACAAAAAGCTTTTGACAATGTCCAGCACCCATTCATGATAAAAAGACCAACAGAAAATTGGAATAGATGGTCTTTATCTCAATCTGATAAAAGCCATCTATGACAAACTGACAGCCAGCATCATACTAAATGGAGAAAAATTGAAAATGAACAAAATCAGGAACAAGACAAGGATATCCATTATCCCCACTCTGATTCAATACAGTTCTGGAAACCTTAGCCAGAGAAATTAGACAAGAGCAAGAAATAAAAGGAATAATGATAGGAAAGGAAGAGGTTAAATTATCACTTTTTTCAGATGACATGGTATACCACATAGAAGACCCCCAAAACTCCACTGAAAGACAGCTAGATTTAAAGCAAAATCAGTAGTGTAGCTGGGTACAAAGTC